TCAACTTAATCTTTAAAGACTGCTCACCCTGTTTTAAACCTTATTGCCAAACCAAGAGTTCTGTGCTGTGTCAAAGCTACATCTTGGAACATGCATGCATAACAAAGAGTCCACGCATGAGAAAGAAACAACACAGAATCAGACACAGATTAAGATTTGTCTGAAGCTGACAAATACATGAGGGCCTTTTATATAGTTCCTTTTACTGAATGACTAACCAGGTTTCTAATTTGGTGTGACATAATTAATTACAGCCAATTAGGTAAACAGATGGGACGCAGAGTGAGTGGAAAGGAAATGAGCGTGAGGATCATTAACTCATGTGGGTGGTTGGCTGGATCAGGCTTCACCATGGGCCCACCAAGGAGTCATGAAGAGCCTTAGTTTAATGTGACGCCGAAGAAAACCGAGGCGTAAACAGATGAAAGCGCGGGCAAAGATTAGGTTATCCTGACACTTAGCAATTCATACTGGTGTGAAAGAAAACATCTGCCATATTAAATACACATTAATGTCTGTTCCATTGAGGAACAACTGAGTGCACCAAACTATAACCCCTCCCTATGAGATATTACGTTTTCCCTTATGTCTAAATACATTAAAATAAATTAGCAAGTGCCTTATAAAAGTATTATACCTATTGAACATTTTCATATTTTGCCATTTTGCAACTATAAACTTCGATGTGTTTCATTTGCATTTAATGTGACAGCCTAACACAAAGAGGCGCATACATTACAATGCCAAGTTCCAGGTCAAGCTATGGCTATTCAGACATTATGGCATACCAACATTAGAAAAAAAAGCAATGATAGGTAATGTTGTGATTTACTGTCTGAATACTGTGGAAGCGCAACGAGCGGTTGTGCTCAAGTTTGGATGCATTAGTGTTGGGAATTGGGAGTGTTCATTCCTGTGCTTGTCCACCAGAGGTCCTCCTGGAGCCACTACTAACTCTCCTACAGGTGTTTCTGATCTTCGGCTGATTGGGCTTACCTGGGAGGAGTATTTAGGAGCCTGCCACCAGTCCTTTGTTGCCTGAGTGTTGTTGCCCTAGTGGTAATCACCAAGCCAGAGAAACTTTGTCAGTCTGACTTAAGCCTGTGTTTGTTTTCACTGCTTCCTGTTAAAAACCTGTGAGGTGTGGGCTATTACCTTCGCAACTGGATCCGGACACCCTGCACCCTCTACTGTTGTTTGTGAATTTGGATTATTCATCTCAAGACTGTGGCTCGATTCCTAACCTTCCTAACTCCTGCCTCTGTGAGTACTCTGGCCATCTCTGGACCGAATATTGGACAAGCTTTCTGGATAGCCTGACTCCTAAGCCCAGTGGTATGATTCCCCAGAATTGCTCTGCTCAGTGATCCAAGTAAGCATACTCCTGGGACATTATGGATGTTTGTTCCTCCCTGATCTGAACTAAGTATTGCTTCTTTCTTCAGTGGACCCGAAGAACCTACCAACCATTGTTCCGGTGGAACTCCCCTTGTGTTTATAAATAAACGTTTGAAACTTGTCTGGTCTCCTGAGTGAGTTTTGCATGTGGGTCAAACTAATTTCTAAAACAATGACAGTTAGTCCTGCTGATTGCCAATCAGCCAGGAGTTAAAGCTTTGAACTTTGAAAGTTATTTATTCTAAACGGACTACAGTTTGGACTTCGTAGCCTGGCAACTCCATTGTTCGTTTCATCATTTTATTACCCTTAGGGGTTTTCCACCTAGCTACTGCCATAAAGTTTTACAACCCTTTGTTCAAGATTTTGGGCTGCTAATGGCTAAGGGGCCGGCTGCTAGATGCTCTGCATTCGGGGTGTGGCCCTACCGTTCTACCAGCTGATAGCCAATGTCGAGACGCACACACGGAGAAAGGTTTCAGAGTATAGTGGTTTTGCTCATCTTTCCAAGTTAATCCAAATTAATGCTACCAAATGGAAGATATTGTCACAATGCCTTCTATCTTTACAAAAAGTTTCATCCCTGGTGGTTGTTTTGCTTGATCAAATTTCAGTCTACAAAACAATTATAGTGTTTGCCATCCAAAACGTCTTGATTGTCCGAACCAAAGAGATCCTCAATGACCTCATGGATCTTTATTAAAGGCAAATGTTATGTGGCACAAGTAAGAGCGAAGCTCCAAAGGAAACTTTGAATTTTGGTGAAAGGCAAGTTCTCGGAAGCCTAGAACACAGCCAACCACACTTTAGCTCTGGCTTAGGATTAAACTTTGAATTTTGGGTCTGCTTTGAAACAAAACATATGAGTCATACTTAATGAGTCTTTAAAGCAATGTTGGTATTCGTTATCATAGACCTCTTGCTACCTTCAGCAAACCATGAAAACCACAAAAGTCTTAAGACTGACCTGCAAAAACTCTATTAAAGACAAATTGTACATGGCACATGTAAGACCAAATCCCCAAAAGAAACTCTGCTCCAAGTCTGAGGTAAATGTAGCATCACGGAAGCCTAGGAGCCATGACTGTTCCTCAAAATAAGGCTGTAACTGTAAAGCTTTTCTCACTTTTAAATCCATGCACACACAACATACCTAAGGTGCCACAATGTCCAATTATGTAGGCGAGCTGCCGAATGGAAGATATTGTCACAATGCCTTCTCATGGTGCAAAAAGGTTCATCCCTGGTGGTCTAGTGGTCAGGATTCGGCGCTCTCACCGCCGTGGCCTGGGTTCGATTCCCGGTCAGGGAAAATCCTTATTGGTATGTTATAGTTTCCTGTTGTGTTATATTACTGTAACGTTGATCATATTTACTTGTACACTGAGGTCAGTGATATGCAGATTTCCCGAATATGTTTATGGCATAATGATTACAATTCTGTCCCAATGTTTTGTGGGCGAGCCAAACAACCAATGTGTAAAATTGACTGCTTAGACTTCACATTGTCTTTTCTACAGCACTTTTTGCATCAACGTTTGGTTAAATTTAAATGTCATGTAATTCCGTTGAGAACACCTTAGAGGCCATCACAGTGTTAACCTGTCTACCAGGTTTTGGCAAACGGAATTATAATGTTCATTGGCCTGAAATCCAAACCAGGTCACCTGCTGGGCGGGGCAGCTGTTCTTACCACTATCCCAGCATAACTGGCCCTGCCTTGAAAGTGTGATAGATTCCCTCGAGTTATTTGACAAAAGGTTGTTTTGCTTGATCAAATCTCAGTCTACAAAACAATAACAGTGTTTGCCATCCAAAACCTCTTGATATATTGACCAAACCAAAGAGATCCTCACTGACCTCATGGACCTTTATTAAAGGCAAATGTTATGAGGCACAAGTAAGAGCGAAGCTCCAAAGGAAACTTTGCTTGAAGTTTTGGTGAAAGGCAAGTTCTCGGAAGCCTAGAACACAGCCAACCACACTTTAGCTCTGGCTTAGGATTAAACTTTGAATTTTGGGTCTGCTTTGAAACAAAACATATGAGTCATACTTAATGAGTCTTTAAAGCAATGTTGGTATTCGTTATCATAGACCTCTTGCTACCTTCAGCAAACCATGAAAACCACAAAAGTCTTAAGACTGACCTGCAAAAACTCTATTAAAGACAAATTGTACATGGCACATGTAAGACCAAATCCCCAAAAGAAACTCTGCTCCAAGTCTGAGGTAAATGTAGCATCACGGAAGCCTAGGAGCCATGACTGTTCCTCAAAATAAGGCTGTAACTGTAAAGCTTTTCTCACTTTTAAATCCATGCACACACAACATACCTAAGGTGCCACAATGTCCAATTATGTAGGCGAGCTGGCGAATGGAAGATAGTGTCACAATGCCTTCTCATGGTGCAAAAAGGTTCATCCCTGGTGGTCTAGTGGTCAGGATTCGGTGCTTTCACCGCCGTGGCCCGGGTTCGATTCCCGGTCAGGGAAAATCCCTATTAGCATGTTATAGTTTCCTCTTGTGTAATGTTACTCTAACCTTGATCGTATTTACTTGTACACTGAGGTCAGTGATATGCAGATTAACCAAATATGTTTATAGCATAATGATTACAATTCTGTCCCAATGTTTTGTGGGCGAGCCAAACAACCAATGTGTAAAATTGACTGCTTAGACTTCACATTGTCTTTTCTACAGCACTTTTTGCATCAACCTTTGGTTAAATTTAAATGTCATATAATTCCGTTGAGAACACCTTAGAGGCCATCACAGTGTTAACCTGTCTACCAGGTTTTGGCAAACGGAATTATAATGTGCATTGGCCTGAAATCCAAACCAGGTCACCTGCTGGGCGGGGCAGCTGTTCTTACCACTATCCCAGCATAACTGGCCCTGCCTTGAAAGTGTGATAGATTCCCTCGAGTTATTTGACAAAAGGTTGTTTTGTTTGATCAAATCTCAGTCTACAAAACAATAACAGTGTTTGCCATCCAAAACCTCTTGATATATTGACCAAACCAAAGAGATCCTCACTGACCTCATGGACCTTTATTAAAGGCAAATGTTATGAGGCACAAGTAAGAGCGAAGCTCCAAAGGAAACTTTGCTTGAAGTTTTGGTGAAAGGCAAGTTCTCGGAAGCCTAGAACACAGCCAACCACACTTTAGCTCTGGCTTAGGATTAAACTTTGAATTTTGGGTCTGCTTTGAAACAAAACATATGAGTCATACTTAATGAGTCTTTAAAGCAATGTTGGTATTCGTTATCATAGACCTCTTGCTACCTTCAGCAAACCAGGAAAACCACAAAAGTCTTAAGACTGACCTGCAAAAACTCTATTAAAGACAAATTGTACATGGCACATGTAAGACCAAATCCCCAAAAGAAACTCTGCTCCAAGTCTGAGGTAAATGTAGCATCACGGAAGCCTAGGAGCCATGACTGTTCCTCAAAATAAGGCTTTAACTGTAAAGCTTTTCTAACTTTTAAAAACCATGCTCACACATCATATCTAAGGTGCCACAATGTCCACTTACTTGGGCAACCCGCCTGCATGGAAGATATTGTCACAATGCCTTCTCACTTAACAAAAAGGCTCGTCCCTGATGGTGTAGTGGTCAGGATTTGGTGCTTTCACCGCTGTGGCCTGGGTTCGATTCCCAGTCAGGGAAAAGCACATTAGCCTATTATAGTTTCCTGTTGTGTGATGTTACTCTAACCTTGATGACATTTACCTGTACACTGAGGTCATTTATATGCAGAATTTATGGCATAATGATTATAATTCTGTCCCAATGTTGTTTGGTGGAGTGAAAAATTGAAATTCCTATTGTGTAACAAAATTAAGAAGACACTTGAATTGGTCAGAAAACATCCCCCTCCTCAAAAGGCACATTGACCTCTTTTGTGTAATTCATTTTTATCTTGTACAAAGCACTTGATCACAGATCCTCTACACTATACAGGGACTACAATATTTTCTAGGATTTTACACATTTCTGTTCATTTTGCATGAATGGTGGCCATTTGGTTTCACAAGACCTCTCAACGCTAATGGTAACAACAGACAATTTTAGTTTCTAAATGTATCTTTCAGACACACATTGAAACATGCAGGAAGGTATTTTGGGAATTAAAATGTTACTGTATTTGTGTTTCACTTGACGTACACGAGATTTCTACATTTCACAAGATTCAATGACAGCGGAGAGGAAAAACTCCCTTTCAACAGGAAGAAACTTCCAGCAGAACCAGGCTCAGTGTGAGCGGCCATCTGCCACGACCGACTGGGGGTTTGAGAGAACAGAGCAGAGACACAAAGAGAACAAAGAAGCACTGATACAGGAGTACGTTCTATGGGAAGGAAAAGTAAATGTTAATGGATGTAGCTCCTTTAGTCGTTTCACCTAGAAAGAAAGAACAGATAAACTCTGAGCCAATTTTCAAGGTTAGAGTCTGGAAGAGAGCACATACAGTTAATTACAGTTAAACTCAGTCAATCGCCATGTCTAGGAGAGAGAAAGTGTTAAACACTAAAAGACAGGGTTATGTGGATCATCGGTAGAGGGTGAGCATTAAGTTGTTGCCAGCAGAAGCTCGGACGATTCCCCTCTCCAGAAAGGTGTCACAGGTAGATACAGAGCCAGGCCAGGTGTAGCTTCTAGGAAGAGAAAAGAGAGAACAAGGTTAAAAGCTGAAATAACAGCAAATAATGCAAAATTGGAGAGTAGTGTGAGAATGTAGCGAAGAGGGTGAAAGTGG